ATGGGCTTCACCAAAGATGTCAAGGAGACCTTGGTTCCAATGCTTATTCCTGGCTTGAAGAACATTGTCAAGCTCGCCGCTGGTAACAACCATTACCTTGCTCTTAACAACAAGGGTTCTGTTTTCGCATGGGGTGCTGGTGAGCATAATCAGCTTGGTCGAAGAATCGTTGAACGTTCAAGATTGAATGCTCTCGTACCTCGTGAATTTGGTCTACCAAAGGCCATGGTCGACATTTTCTGTGGATCAGAACATAGTTTCGCCATTCACAAGAACGGCACCGTTTACTCTTGGGGAGCAAACAACATGGGTCAATGTGGTCAATTCAGCAAAGATGGTACCTTGACTGAAGAAGTCACTTCAACTGCTACCAAAGTCAATATTCTCAAAGACAAGAATATCAAGATGATGGCCGCAGGCAACGCTTCCAGTTTGGCACTCACCCATGAAGGCGAGGTTCTTTACTTTGGCAAAGCTCAGGATGGTCTTTCTGGCCATGATGTTGAGGCACTTCCAGAAGATGTCATCATCAGAAACGAACGTGACCAACGATCGATCATCAAAACACCCCTCACCTTCCCATTTAAGGGATCATACATTGCTATGGGCAGTGACCACAGCATCGTTCTTGGCCCTGATGGTCACAGTCCTCACTATTCTTGGGGATTCAACACCTACAGACAGACTGGTCTTGAAGATGAGCAAGATGTTTACATTGCTGAGGAGCTCAACTGCAAGCACATTGAAGGAAAGAAGCTTGTATGGGCAGCTGGAGGTGGCCAATTCTCTTTCTTGGCTGGTATTCCAGAAAACTAATTTCGGATCGCCGCGTGTTTGATTTTTTCGCTATAAATAGCGCAGTCCGGATCCTGATACACCGCAATCAATCCAGCTCGAACTCGGCCTGACTGCAATTCTTCAATAAGGAAAACATATCTGTAATGATTTTGAGAGACTGACCTTGATGGATCTCTGGTTTTTACCTAGGACTTTGATCCGGACCATCAAGGCAGTTCTCTCTTAATCATCGCAGATATGTTTTCCTTATTGAATAATTGCGGGAAGGGCGATAATAGAGAGGATTGAGCGTGGTTGTAGATGGTGATGGCTGCATTCATGAATTGGCGTTTCGGAATTGGACTGTATGGATATTAAAAATGGGAATGGATTATGGCATTATTGAGGTGCATGGAATAGAACAATGGAACATTGGGATGGACTAAGCTGGAGTTATTTGTTTGAGTAGTCTTTTAAAGAGACTCGTTATCATCGGTCGTGAGAGACCTTTTATGGAACTGTTGGATTTGTTAGACTTGTCTTCGTTGTTTGTTCGAAGTCATTGCGTTTGTGGTACATAGATTACGTTTTTCTTCTCTGGAATTAAAGATTTTATAAATGAATATTTCGTGCTTGTGCAGTTGTGATGTGATGTGATGTGATATGATGTTCTAGATTGAGAAGTTGATAGAGAACTAAACCGGGTCGTTCAGATACATTGGATGTCGCATGAGATCCTCAATCCGGATATTCAAATACGCACCGCATCATGCAGGTAGTCATTAGCATGGAAGGAAACCTTGGGATGGAAATAGGAAATGGGAAATTGAAGATGAAGTAAACAATAGGCCGGTACCTAGGTATATATGTTAAAGATTAAGGCTGAAAATATTGAGGAGGGGGCTGTTGGGTTGTGTTAATTGGTGGTGGTGGTGGTGTGCATACTTTGGATGTTAGGAGTTGGGAGTTGTGTTGTGGGAGAGAAGTTACTACTAAAGCCCAAATCTCTCGAGGCATAAACGAGATGAACATTTCAAAGTCGAGTTTGAGGAATGGTTGCTTGAGACGGGATTGTTGTTAGTAGGTAGGTAGATATGGTTGGTATTGGTATTGGTATTGTCGCGTTATTCTTCGTGTTCTAGTTTCATAGTATATAGTATTATTGGTTGTGATGCTAGAGCTAGATTTCACTACTTAGTGGGGGGGGGGTATATATTTTGGTATCCACGATATTGATCTATCTCGTGTCTAACCTTACCGCGTAATCTACAATCAATTCGTTTATGAGAGGTGGTGAGAAATTTGATATCCAGTACTTCTATCTTCTGAGAAAGATAGCTTAAAGATAGAAGATATAAATGACTGTAGATATAGATCACTCTTCTGGCTGGATGGTAGAGCTAGCAGTCAGTCGTGTTATTTTGATCTCTCGAAGAAGGGTTTGGATAGGGTTGCGGATGTGGATTCGCGAGATTGATGTATGTCAGTTTTGATTCGAGGGGGTGGAGGGGGAGGGCTTGAACTAAACTTGAGGTATTTCCCGCAGGTGAAAAGAAGCGGGAGAAAGCGAGAAGAAGGAAGAGGGGAAAGAGAGAATAAACAAGGAGTGATGTAGATAAAATGAAAATCGAAATGACCATTGTATCACGGCTTCATAACAAGCCAGATTTCATCTGCAGAGGTGATAAATGTAAACAAATCGTACAATCTAATCTGAATCTGCTTCAACCTAAAAGATTCAGTATCTGCACCATCGTACGAGTATCTAGGAGAATTGATGTACTTCCCTTAAAAACCCTCAACTATTCATCTCTGGAAGTACTATCCGCGTTGATTCTGCGCTATTTTGTATGTTAAACACAGAGGGTAATCTTCTCTCCTACATTACCTTAATTTGATCAGAAGTATACATCAATAGAATAATCGAGCAGCAAATGATGCATCTCATCCAAAATAATACACAATCGACTAGAACCCAAGACTTAACCTTCGCCGCGAGTGAAGAAACCCATCCATCATACCAAAGAGTCTAATCTTAACCCAGAGAAGAAACCCATGATGAGAAGGCGTCTACCCCGCCGTTCTTTATCATTATGTATAGAAGCTCATTCTCGATACTCATCGATAATCGACAAGGAATTCTGGATCCTCGTCCTCGGATTTCACTCGAAATTCATAGTGTCTATCTGCCATCCTCCATGTATCCATCCATCCATCCATCCATCCATACATACACACCCACCACCGTCATCTCCCAGTGCATAGCACAAAGTAGATTTCCCCTCAAATCGCGTATTTGGCTAACCCCCCCTCCCCCCCTTTCTCCTCCCCCAAACAATCTACAAACTCGCGCTCAAACATCCAGTAACCCCTCATAATAGAACTTTAACTTGCAAGATTAATATCCATCTACGTCCTCATATATTTATTTTTCTTATCCATAACGAATACGCATAAAGTGTTTTCCGGTAATGAATTAGTCTTCTCGTAAAGAGGTAGAATAGAATAAATATAATGACATCCATCGTCGATTCGGTATCATTCCTTCGTTTGGGAGTTCGTCAATTGGAAAATTTACCTCCCTGTGTTGTATATGGACAGAGCCATTTCCGGAAATTAAAATGAGAGAAGAAGAAGAAGAAGAAGAAGAAGAGAAAAAACCAAGAGCAAGATCCCCTCTGTAAACAAAAATAACCAAAAAAATAAACATCCACAGGCCTTCCCCCATCGCCCTTAGCATATCTCAGCTGAATCCTATATTTCCCAACCGAGCGATTCGATAACCCTTCTATTTTCTTTTTCTTTTCTTTTTCTCTCAATATAGTATTCCATTAAATTTCATCCATATCGTCGTTCGTGTCTGTTATTTTGTTATGTACCTAGTACTCCAATCGACTAAGACGAAGACGAAGACCAAGACCGAGACCGAGACCGAGATATCAACACCCAATATACATACAGGTATTCTATTGTATTCGGTCCATCGAGAAATTCTCTCTGCATTCTATCCATCTATCATTCATTAATATCGCGTCTCCAATTATTCAAAGATGCTGAAATCGAGGAACAAAAGGATTGATTGACTCTTTCCAATTCCTCGTGTAATATGATCTAGATGATGTAGTACTCGTATCTTCAACAACTTTGCTGATAATACGGTATTTAGAAAGAAAGAACAGGAATGAGATTATTTCTTCAAGGGGCAAATAAAAAGGGAAAAATACAACGAAGAATACAACGAAGAACTGTCGACTCAAGCACACAATTTATTGGTGCATTAAATATAACAAGAGAAAGAACAAAAACAAGAGCGCTGAGAAAACAAGTCTCAAAACCAGGAGAGAAGATGCATATATCTTGAAAATCAAAATCAAGATGAAAAGGTATCTATCATCTACATATCCATATTTATACAATTTCCCTCTCGCACAACCTAAGGCAACCCCTCACACCATCCACCGTACCGTACCACACCACACCAACCACACCAACCACCAGCACAATCTAGCCCGACCTCCCAGGAACAAAAATTCAAACCAGGCCATCAACATCTCAACCACAAATTACACACAATACACAAAACCAGACCACCAAACCTACCCCATCTCTCCATTCTCAGTCCAGGAAGCCAACCCACAGTACCACTTTCCAGAAAACTTCAGCTCAGTCCTAATACGCACCAACCATCAAGAAGCAACTCCTATCCCAAAACCATCTCAGCAAATACCCTCGCTCCCTCACCTTTCTTTCTTTTTTCGTCTTTTCTCTCTCCCTTCCCCCTCCCCCTCCTCTCATTTACCAACAACTAACAACCAACCAGCTGACCAATCGACCATAATCCAACCAGGGGGAGAAAAGCACACACGATGAAACACAGATCCGCATCTATTCCTATGCCACAGACCAGAAGAGTGGTGGTCAACCCAAGTTGAGGTCAAGGTCGAGGTCGAGGTCAAGATCGGTCAATCCGTTTCAACCTATCGACATATATGAGCGGCCTGTACAATCTAACAACAGGTCGAGATAGGTAGCTCAGGTAACAACCATAAGACGGATGGAAGTGCATGGTATCGAGTTACAAAATGCTCGGGCTCTCTGCATCAATGCGAAAGGGGTTGGGAGATGTTTGTTCTGACTTTTCATGGCAATTACGCGTTCTTTCTCTTAGGCAAGGGAAACTTCCTATGTGATTAATATCAGAGACCTCACAATATAATGAAGAGTACGCGAAAACAGAGTGAATTCATCCCAATCATTCGTAGCTCATTCACAAGAAGGATCCTAAATTCAAAACACATATTTCTAAAGCATCAATTCATACGTTGACTTCCTAACCTCCACATACCAGAACCCAAAATAAACCATGCGGTCTAGTCCCCTTGGACACTATTCTACACATGTGTATAAAATTCCTTTCAATCCTCTATCCCCATCCCCTCACTCCTCAATCACAAACACCCCTTCTAAGCCTTAGGCTCAACCCCCTCAACAGCTTGTTTGATAGCATTTTCCAACGCAACAGGGTTGGCACCTACAACCTCTGCAACCTTCTCATTTCCCTTGAAAATTATAAAGGTAGGCATAGCTCTGATACCAAGCTGTTGTGATACCTCTGGCAACTCATCGACATCGATTTTGATGAAATGGGCGGCGGGGTAGTCTTCCGAGAGCCTATTTGATGCAAATTAGTATTTTCATTTCTTATTTTCCTTTGTAAAAAGGATAAGGGGAGGTGATTAGACAAGGCAATCAAGGGAGAAAACATACTTAACAACTCTAGGAGCGATGGCCTTGCAAGGACCACACCATGTTGCAAAGGCGTCGAGAACAACGACTTGGTTATCGGCAAGAGCAGACTTGAATTCAGTTGCGCTATTGATTTTCTATTAGCATTTGTGTTTGTATATCTCTGTTTATGCTGGGTATGGATCTCTTCCGGAAAGCTCTTCGTGCCCCACCCACACAACCTACACATATCATCGAAGATATAGTATAATATTGTGACGCGACCGAATAGAGATGTCGATGAGATATTCCAATATACCAATCCCAGAGCCGAGGGGGATAGTATACATCTCTTTTCTGGAGAGAAGGACGGGGAAGGGGGGTAAAACTCACTTGGCAATGTTGTGAACACCCATATTTGCGATAGATTGATGAAAAGCTCTTTTGTTTATAGATTGCAAGAAGACGGAGCGATTATAAGTTTTTGGTAATCGTGGAAGAGATCGGATGAAGAATGACATATGAAAACTCTCGCGGATATCTGAAGAGTATTTGTATGTTTTGGAGTTTGTGGAGGCTGACGGGAAGAAGGTGGGAAGTTATGGAAGATCTGTAAGATGGTTCGTTTCTCTTCCGATGCTTTCTAATGCAGATTGATTTCTAAGAGGGGTAATTGTATGTGATACCTGATAATCCAGGCGGCAAATGACGAAATGATGATTGTGTAAGCAGAGATGGGCTAGATTCTTTATCCTTGTTAGATGGATGATAAGATATGATTGGCTGAAGTGTGTTTAGAGTGTGTATGATTGATTCCAAAGAATCTTCCATGCTTTCTAGAATACAGATAAACTTGGCTATACCGGACTGGGATATACCGGAAACTTCCAAGGTTGGATATACCGGACTTTTTTTCCATTTTTTCCTAAATTTATATGGGAATACCGGAATTTCGACGAAAACCGGTATACCGGACACTTTTTTCACGAATCCGGTATAAATTTTGATGGTAGATTTTGCTGAATAAGCTTTTTTTGATGAGTAAGCTCAATTAGCTATTATTATATGATATTTTTTCGAAAATATTGGGGTTTGGAGCTGAAATCGGATATAAATTTTGGGTAAGAAAGCTTGGACTACCATTTTTTATACCGGAATCTTGGATATACTGGATTTGATTGGTCAAAAATTTCAGTCCGGTATAACCAAGTTTATCTGTATTGATGTTTCGGGTATAGAATGGTAGAATGGGTGATATTGATAACTATTTTGGGATTATATCATGATTTGTATTGGAATTCTTTCGGTCTCGCCGTCGCTCTTATCTTTTGGTTGTTTGCTTTTTCCTTCTTATTGACAAGCCATCAATATCATAAGCTCGGCGACTGGTAGATATGATTAAGCAGGGAAAACCCAAAGATATCCATCCGGATTCCCAACTCATCTCTATAGATATCATAACATCATAGCATCATAAGTTTCATCAATAGCTATCATCAGACACAACCACCCCTCTCTCTATACTTTCGAGTCATGAATTACCATACCTCTAGACCCTATCACAGAAGATCACAGAAGATCAACCAACAAACCCACTATCCAATCATGCAATCGACAGATACATCATACAATCACCCCTCCACAGTATCACAACATCGTATCACAACACCACAACTCCTTCGCTCCTTTTAGATCTCAAATTCCCACTCCGTGATACATACATATACACACAGACAAATACTTAGTATTCACACTCTACCACCCCACCACCTATCACACGTACGGATTACATACAACCCAGCCCCAATCCTGAATGACATAATCTTCTATCTCTCATCTCTCATCTTCCCTTTTCCTCCCATCTCCTCCCATCTCCCCGTTTCAGCCCCAGCCCCAGCCCCTCTTCGTGATACCACACACTAGGTATAGGTAGGTAGGTATCACACACAACCTTATCCCCAATCCCCAATCCCCAATCCCCAATCCCCAACCACAACAGCGGCCCAGCAAGCCCGCCGCACAACCATCTATCTCCCCTCAGACCTCCATGCACGAAATCCATCCCATCTCTCAACTGAAAAACATGCTGTCCACCGCCCCTTTCCCCTCATCCATATCATCATATCTCCGTCCTGTACCTGCAGCTGATAGCTTCATTATATCTACCTATCCATCCACCAATACCCATCAGTTCGTATCTCTAACTACTCTCCCGAATAGTAATCCCATCCCATCCCATTCCATGCATATCATGCATACACACACATATACATATACATATACATACACACATATATACATACCCATCATATCAGATTATATATATCAAACCTCATTAATCGTACAAACAATGAATGCACATCCAACTCCATCCATCCATCTGCATTCATTCTCCTAATACATATTCCTCCACCCTACAATTTTCCCAACACATTCAAATTCAAACATCCATCAAACACAATTTCAAACTCCACAAGAGCGAGCACAGATATCAGATAATATAATACAATCATAATAACGAGTAGGTAGATATCGACGACCTATATCCCCTAACTAAGCTAAGCTATCTCATCTCATCTCATCTCGTTTCTCCCCCTCCTCCTCTCCGCTTCTTCCTCCCTCGCCCCGTACAACCTCCAAGGATTCAATCCCTAATTCCCATCCCCAAATCTCGCATCAAATTCTGGGAAATCTGAAGTCTTTCTCAATTCTCACTCATCTCACCTCATCTATACCTCAAGAAATCAATCAACCATAAGGGAAAAGAAGTTTCAAAAAAGAAGAAGCTAGATAGCTCACTATTACTAAATACTATAATCTTCCTCAAATGCCCAATCCTTAAGAGCCCTGCTCTCTCCCCCTCTCCCCCTCATCTTTCTTATCCCCGGGTATCTCTTCCGCTCAAGAAGTAATATTACATATTTTCCTCCCCTTCCATTTCCTCCTTCGCCCAAAAACCTTCCCCAAGATCCTGTAAAAAAGGAGTGACGCCGTCATAATTTTCCACTCCCCAGCGATACCCCGATTTCTTTTTTCGGTCCCCTATTTCAAATACATGTTGGGGTATCGATTCGAAAATGTCAAAAAGCAAAAAAAAAAAAAAGCAGAAACATCTATGTGCTAGTGGGGATATCAATTCATTATAAAACCGAAAAAAAGCAAAAGAAATAAAGAAAAGGGTTTGTCGTGAATCCGTGAAATAGTGATTGTGGAGTAATGCGAGTAAATTGATGAGAAGTTGGTAGTTGATGTATAGAATAAAGATGTCATGGACAATGACAATGATCGAGGCGAAGCTTTTTTTACTCGTTTTTTTTTAGGTCGATTCGAGCCTTTTTTTAAGGAAATGTTTGTTAAAGGAGCGAATGCTGACAAAAGAAAAGTTGCAATGAGCGTGGGTGTCGATAGTGACAAAATTGTTGTAATGAAATAATTAAAAGAATGTGGTGCTCGTTTCGTTTTGTCATTGTCCTTGAACATCTTCATCTTTCCACCAGTCCGACTTTACGAGTCATTATGACTCACACTCGTCCTTCGTGCCTCCCCAGAAGCTCTTGGTTTCATGTCAAGAAGTCTCGCGCTACCCGCACTGACTCTTCTAACATGTCCGAAGTCAACACTTGTAGCTCTGCTAATGCCAGTACTATCCTCGTCGACGAATTCAACCTGATAGCTGACACTTCTTCGGTAGCCTGGAGAATCTTCAGCAGCCTCATCCAAAAGTCCCTCGCGAGATTTTGCTCGTTCACGGTGAATTACAGTAGCATGTCTTGCCACAGCTCCCCATTTTGTCTGCCCTTCTGGAGATGGATTTTGTTTAAGGCTAGCTCCATCTTCCTCATCGCTAGAAGCCATGGGAAGACCGGTAGATTGACGTTTCATCATATTTTCTTCCTCGGGCCCCGGTGTAATGCGGCTGAAGTATTCATCTTCAGCAATTCCAAGTTCTTCTGAAGATTCTGATAATTCTTTGAAGCGTTGTTGTAAAGAGCTAGCAGAATCGCGTAATGGTGACAATGTCATCTGTGCAGATCCTCGTTTTGAAGCTGTTTTCTTTCCAGAAAGCCATGATCCTTCGGAGTCTATTGATGCAAGAGATTGGGAAATAAGAGCGGGTTGTTCGGGTGAAGGTACATCTGTTGATCTGTGGCCACTGGTAGGTGTGCTATCTCGTAAACGCGCGATACTGATTGGAGTATCGTATCTGCGTTGTTCCTCCAAAGATCTTCGTACACTACCTCTCTTATCTGGATAAGCATTTCGTATTGGTGGTACGACATCAGCCTCGGGAGATTGTAGTCGGGAGTCCGGTGGTGAAACTGGAAGTTCAGGCAAATCTTCTCTAAACTTTGACATCGTTCGTTTGGGGATGTTTGATGTTTGCCTAACCACTGGCGTATATCCCAAGTGTGGTGGTGGCCCAGTTTGCACTGTTTCTCGTGAAGTGTTCGAGAAGGATGGTGTAGAAGTCCTGCTGAGTCTCTTGTTTCGTCTAAAGAATGATGTCCACGATTGAGAAGTTTTGGCTTCCACAGGCTGCTTGACAGGTTCTGTCCCCACTCGCTGTTTTTTAGCTGGAGAAGGAGTCCTGGATTTATCTAGGTTTACCACCTGTGACATCTTCGACGGCCCTCGAAGATGGCCCTTTGGTGAAGCAGGTGGCGAAACATTAGCTTTTCCGATAGTGTCAACCTGCGCAGTTCCTAAGAATGGTACGGAACGTTCTGAAGAAGGGGTTGGGTTCTCGTCGACGAATGGAGTTTCGTGCGCAGGAGAGTCTTTGAAAAAGGCATCCGCAGGTCGCTTTCCTCTTCCAGAATCCCAAGTATCCGATCCTCTCCTCTTGCTTGATGTGGTTACCGCGGAAGTTCCAATGCCCAAGCCTACTACCTCTCTTCCTAAGACCCCCCTCTCCATGTTATCCGGTGGTGGTGTACCGTATCGAGCTGCAGCTGCTTCTTCGGCCTTTTGTTTCTCTTGCTTTCTTGCTAACCTCCTCTCTGCCTTCAGCTTCTCATCTGCCTTCTTCCTTTCCCGCCTCTTCTGATCTCTTTCCATGAGCTCCCGAAGCTCTCGGGCGTCCAGATCATCGGCAAGTTCATCAATTCTCTTATTTGCTTTCAGAACTTCTTCTGGAATATGTATGCGATCCAAAATACGTCGCTTTTGCGAGTCTGATCTGTCCGAACCAAAACCGGTTACGCCAGGCGCATATCGAGGGTTTTCGGAATGTCGAATCGTAGGGCGTGGTGCCAACGCATCTAATGCAGATATTCTCCATGATGTTTGATGTTCGGAATTCGAAGACACTGAAGAACGCATCGATTCCGCTGTCGGCAGTGAAATATCCGAACGCGGGTTTTGTAAATTCCCTTTCAACCCAGTCCGCATTCTCTTGCTATCCCTCTTCATGGGACGACCAGATGATGAGGCATCTGCGGCCGGTCTACTGGGCATAAAAGAAACCATTGCTTTAATTTCCTCTTCCCTATTAAATTCTTCTTTGCGCTTTTTACTCGACTTTCGCCTTGAGAGTTCCGCAGCACCTCTTTTATGTAATGTTGGCACCCTCTGCCAATCCTTTAACTCCTCGGCTTCTTGATCTGTAAGTCCAATTGTTGTGTCTCTTCCGTCTCGAGCATCTGCAGGTAAAGGAGGAACCGGA